CCCCAGACTGACCAATTAAGGGTTGGTAGGACTCTGAGAAGAGACTGGCTCACAATGTCATAGGAAAGAGGCCTGAGGGAAGCCACTATTCTCTCTTGTCCCTTGCTACCGTGATAGGGTTCTGAGAAGTTCCATCTATGAAGAATGAACCTTTATCACATACTAAATCTCCGGGTACCATGACCTTGACCTTCACAGTCTCCGGAATCGTGGACAGTGTTTATAAAGGACTTATATAAGGTGTCTTGCCATAGTGTCTCAGAGGGATGAAGATAACTAACTTGATGATTTTTTTCTATTTTGTGTTCCTATAGGAAGCAATGCAGCTGTTAAAGTTTATGAGAGAGGATTCACTGCTGCAGTTTGTGTAACCTACCTTCATACATTCACCCCACCATGCTGCTTTACAGAAGGGGATAAAGGAAGCACATCATAGTTGCTGACCATCGCTCATTCATCATTCTGCAAATATTTATAACGCACTTCCTACCTGTTGATGAGCAAGACACAGATAACACTATATGTCAACTCGGAAGGTCTTTCTGAGCAGGCTAAGCTTCAACTGGGGGCTATTTTCATAATAGTTCCAAGTGAAACTGGTGATGAATTCCAGGGAGATGGTACCCAGAATGTCTTTGGGAACTCCTCTTTTAAAATTATCTTAAGATTCAATTTACAATCTAGAGAAAAAAGTTTCAGTACTTTTAAATTACTTTTCTTTTGTATTTCATATTTTACTTTATCAATAATGATACACCACACACACACACCTATACATGCATGTTTGCATACATACATACATACATAGACACAAATTCACCAGATAACGTCATGAACTATGAAAAAACAAAATCAGTCCACCTTGGAAACACCTAAAGAGTATGGGTGTTAGCAATGGACATTCCTGAGTCCACTGAGTCTGTCTATGTAACCACAGGCAATGATGCAGCTTTTTCAAGTTTCAATTTACAATAAGAATGACAATAATGTTTGTAGTCCTTCCCTGGGGACTAGAGTTAATATCCTTTGGGGTCCAGTGCTGCGCCCAGCACAAATCAGCAACTGATTCTGTGATTTCTAACTCCCGGAGGAAGAGATCGAAGAATTGTATGAACATCTTGTGCACTTTTAGCAGGTATGCTCCAGCCATTGGATAGCACCAGTGCCCGCTGGTAAAACCCAGAAATGGACGCAACAGCATGATCCTTGTTCTCTTACCAAACCTGGGAAGACCGTCTAACTCAAGTGTTCTCAACCAGTGCCTCCACCATATAGTGTGAATGGGCAGAAGTAGCCAAAGACCTGAGAGTCTTGCAGTCGTTCTCAACCTTCCTGATGCTGAGACCCTTTAATACAGCTCCTCATGTTGTGGTGACCCAACCATAAAATTATTTTCATTGCTACTTCATAACTGTAATTCTGCTACTGTTATGTATTGTAATGTGATTTTTTTTTTGAAACAGAGGTTTGTCAAGAGGTTGCCGTCCTCAGGCTGAGAACCGCTGCCCCAGAGGGAGTAGTGGCAATCAGTACCAGTCCCTGGAAGCAGCAAGCGGAGCCATTAAGGATCTCCATGTTCTAAGACTGCCATAAGATCTGGCCTAAAGGCTCAAGCATCCTAGACTCCCAAAAGCAGGGGCTTGTCACCATCACATTTTCTGTAGCACTAGGGGTTGAATCTAGTCCCTAAGTACTTAGTGTGCAGTAAGTTCCTACTGCTGACATATATCCCTAGTCCTCTTTTTACTCTTGAACTTTGACGCAGGGTCTCACTAAGTTGCCTGGGCAGACTCCGTAAGTAGGCTTGAACTTGTGATCGCCTGTGCCGGCTTCATGAGGAGATGCAATTATGGGACTGTGCCAACAGGCCTGACTCTCCACCGCCCCTCCCATAGTCCAGCTTCGCTTTGCCGGGCAGAGGTTGGATAGAGGCTGGAAGAATGGCATGCCCGCTTCTCCAGTTGCTCTTTTTCCCCGGCCATGGAGCCCACTGAGACTCTACCAAGTACAGAGATTACACGTAGGAAGTTCTTCAGTCATGTATAGCTCCCACAGACTGACTCTGTTCCTTATTAGCCATGTGGCCTTGGGCAAGTCATTCGACCGAACTTGGTGCCCACCTGAGAAAGCCAAAGGGTTACAAGGAGAATTCAGTGAGATGGGAATACATGTGCAGCTCCCTGCTGGGTGCCCGGCACGTGCAACTGATTAGAATGGCCCTACGGAATGTCAGGGCTGGAAGGGACTTGAAAGATGACCTAATCCTGGTGTCTGGTTTCATAGGCAGAGTCAACTGAGCACAGGGAAAGGAACTGACTTGCCCAAGGTCACATGGCAAACCCTTGGTGATACTGAATCTAGCTAGCACCTTGAGTTTATTTTCGAAAGCAAAGGTCAAAACCTGTCATGAGACCTGCTTGCTCTTCCTGCAAGCTGAACGGTTACCAGCTTTCAAAGCTCCCCGTGTCCCCCTGCTCCATAAGCCCAATTTAAACTTTCCTTCTTTACTTGTCAAGCAAAAATACACATTTCTACCAAGGGAAAAACATACATAAAATGCTTCAAGACATTAAAATTAAAACTAAAATCTCCAGCCTTAGCATAAAAGTAGTCTTTTAAGCTTTTTCCTCATCTTCCTTGCTTACTGCCCACCCCCAATTTTGCAATAACAGCAATGCTTCGAGGAAAGAAAGAATAAAAAATCTGATGCACATAACAGATATTTCGGTACAATAACGCATCACAGATGTGCCTATCAAACTGTGTATGCATGTATGCACGCAATTTTACTGAGAAGGCAATTGCATTTCTGACTGTCAGGTTGAGGATCCCTAATGAACTCTGCCCAGGTTCTGGATTCCTACTTGTCCCAGTTAGCCTGTTGCTGCCCAGAAGGATGAAGGAGAGGTTTCATCACCTCCCTCCAAAATGATATCAGGACAAATTGGTGCCGTCAGGCTCTTGGGCAGGTGGTGAAGGGTGTGCAGATTAGGAAATGAGAGGATTCCTGTTTTCTTTTGCCTGAGATTTGTTTTCTACAGCCCTTTCAAGAAGCTGGACCCAAGAACAATTTGAAGAGCGGGCCCAGGCTGGTGGTGGGGTGGGAGTGTTTTTGCAACAGAAACTGGAGTCTGTTTGATCTTCAAACATGGGCTTTGGAGATTGTCAGCGGGCTCCTTGCTGGCCGATGAACGGTTCTCAGTAACTTTTCCTAAAACATAAGCTCACACACTTTGCAGCAAATGTTTTCAACCCACCAGAGCCGTCATTTGGTTGAACAGCAGTGTTTCCAGACCCCCGAAGAAAGATAGTTTTGTTGTTTTAAGAGAGACAGATTAAAGCCAGGGATTGTTTAACCAGAGAGCTCCAATGCTCCCTCCAGCCCTCATCAGGTTCCTCTGTGGTTGGTACAAAGAGGGTGTCGAGAGTGACAGTGGATCCTCCACCTCCCCAAAACTAAAATAGATATCTATGGAGGTTAGATGAGAGGAATATGGGCAGAGAGGCCGCCCACAAAACTGCCTCCAAAATGAGATGGGCGGGCGGTGAGTGCTGGGGGCCCCTGGACCACTGATAATATCAGCTCACGGGGCTGGCAAAGGGGAAGTGCTTCAGAAGAGGAGAGCCGCTCTGTTCAGAGGGCTCCCGCACTGAGGCATAGAATACACAGGATTTTCCCCGTGGAGATGGAGGCAGGCGTAGTCAGAACCCTGCGGGGCGTGACTAACTGCCCCAATATTCCTGCCACCGGGCCCTCTGGGTAAGGACTCCACAATTATGGGAGAGCCAGCAGGAGAACTCACAAACCCGCCTTTCATTTGGCCGGCAAATCAATCTGGCTTCTTACCTCCCTGGGGACAATATTGCATTTCCCCTGGAAAAACAAAGGCCAGAGATCTCGGAAGGGGGAATCAGCTTCAGCAGCCGTTTCCCTGGTGAGGAGCTTGCAACATCTCTGGAGCAATTGGGTCTGATTCCAGGGACAGAGTTTGGGGTCTAGTCATTTTATGAGTCTATCTCCTTAATGATGAGCACACACGTCTTGAGGCCACATTTCACTTAGAGCATCAACCCAGACCCCGTATTGGGGCCCCCTTTTAAAAGTCACAAGCAGGGAGTTCCCATCCTGGGTTGACAGCCTTGTTCTCTAGGCACAGATGTGAACTTATTGTTCCCAGGGCTTCGGAGTTGAGTTTGGAACCAGTGAGTTGAGAATGACCTCTGTCCACAGAGACAGGCTTTTAAAGACATTTTTGCTGGATCAGGTCTCTTGACAGCCAGAGACTTTAAACCTCTTAAGCCCCTCCCTTCTCCCCTGCTCCCTAGGTTCAGAAATCAAAACTGTCAACCTTAAACAAACACATTTCTCTGAAATTATTTCCCTAAAACTCTCCTCACTGACTGGATCTTCCTCCAGTCTTAAGGCGGCAACTAGCTCCTGAGTCGTAGACCTTAGCAAAGGCCCCAAGGATCTGTGAAGAACTTGGCGTTAACCAGCAAACTAGTTCTAGTGGAGGCCAAGCCCACAATACCTCCCCTGCCAGCACAGCCTAGGCTCCATGTCCTCTGCCTCTGTGTGGTTTCTAAGCAGACACACTCACAGGCGAGTGTCCAAACAACCTCAGGACAGCCTCAGGCTCCAAGTCCCCAGGGCCTGGGGAAGCCTGCTGCAAATGGGCTCCCCCTTTCTGTTTTGTATCACTGTGATGCTCCCGGGGAAATTCTTTCTGCTCAGGCAAGCACAGCAGGTGGGGAGTGGATATCCCCAACAGGGAACCACTGAAATGGAAAGAAACACCCAAACTTTGGCACGTAGTAGTAGTTTCCCCTGACCCCAACAAAGCAGCCCAGGGCCAGAGAGATGCTTTTGCTTGGTGCAGAGAGTGGAGGGTGGAGGGTAGAGGGGGATGGGACCTGGCTCTGCCTGTCTGCTGGAGCATGACAAAGATCAGAGACCAGGACCAAGACACTTATGGCTAGGCTGGCACTTGGGTTCCTACCTGGGAGAAGTTGAGCCCGTTGAGAGGATGGCACTGCTCCTCGACCCGCTCCACGGCCCCGGTGCTCTTCTTCATCTTCTCAGCCTGCTGGGCCAGGTAGAGGTCCAGCACAGGAACACCCCTGGAGCGCACATCTGTCTCTGTGAGTGAGTTCACCATGAGCATCACCCACACTGGCCTCTTGCGCTCCCAGTTGCCAGCGATGGCATTGAACAGGTAGTCAGCATACAGCCCTTTGCCACGCTGGGCCGGTGTCATCCATGAGGGCAGCATCAGCTTCACATAGTCCAGGTGGCGCTTCAGGCGCCAGTAGAGCTCTCTTGGCAGCACATCCTGCAGGTTCTCCCCGTGGGGCAGCAGCTGGCAGCTGGCCAGTGCCGAGATGGTGTAGGGATCTGTCAGATCCAGCTCAAAGTAGACACGGGTGCTGGCCTGGAAGGCTGCTTTGGAATTGTCAGGGATGAAGTCCCAGACTCGGGTATATGGAACGTGGATGGTGCCAAACAAGTAGGCTGGGGGATGGCGCCGAATAGTCCACAGGAAGGAGTTTAGGTCCCTCTGCTACAAGGAGAGAGGAGAGGAGGGGCAGATCAGTGAGGCCAAAGGTAGCAGACCAGAGCCAGAGTTGGCACAGCGAGGTGGCAGGGGTACATGGGGCCAGAAGACAGAGGCCCACTGGCAAGGGCTTTGCAAGTTAAAAGCTCCACATTCAAATGCTGGCTTTGCCCTATCTTTATCGAATAATTTTCAGTCCATCATTTCACTTCCAACAGACTCAGTTTCCTCTTCTGTAAAATGGGGCGGGGGGGGGAGAATGGAAGTTATTGGTAGGACTGAAAAACAGAACATACCTATCTGAAGCCCTCAGAGTGGTGCCAGGCACAGAGGAAGTGGGCAATGAAGGGAGGCTCGCTTTATGACTGGCTTTCACTGTGAAAGCCAAGGGCTGCCACACCACCTGAGAACATTCATGCTTGGCCAAGCCAAACCTTCACCAGTAGTGTTTCATGTAGAGGGTGGGGAGAGGGGGACCAAGAGTCCTGCTCTGGCAAGAAAAGAGGAAGTCATATAACTTTTAAATACAGCCATTAGAAGACACATGCCAAGAGCACTCTGAAAGCAGAACACCTATTAAAAATAGCACACCTATTTCAACAGTCACTTCCCATTCATCCGGGTGGGTAAGGTTTTCTTCTTGGAGGGCACGTCTGGGGTGTTAGCTACTTTGCTCCACTCGCTGAGGCCAAAGATGAGAAAGTGTTTTAAAACCTTGCAAAGCCAAATCAAGTCTCAATTTCTGGTTTGAGAGGAGAGGATTCCATAGAATTACCCTCAAGAAATACACCTATTCGGGGTGCTTTGCAGACTTCCCCACCAAAGGATACCTGTTTTTCCATCACCAGGTCTGTCATTTTCTGTGACCTAGGCACACACTAGGGTTGTGTGCCTTGAGCAGGGGCACACACACCAGGGCTATTTTTCTAGTACCGATTAAGATTTAGAAAGACACAGAAGCTAGGGGACTGTTATTTCTCTCAGGCAAAGCCACTTTGCATCTAGAAAAGTCCCTGGGGTGATCAGTGACCAGTGATTTAAGGTCAAGTCATAACACTTTCCTACCTGATTCTGACACAATTGAAAAGTATTCATTTTGGGTGGTGGAAACAGTACCTTATTTTTACCATCAAGATTTGTAAATCTGAATGCACAATGCACAGTGCATTCCAGCTAGCTGTGGTTTCTTGTACACAGGGGCTGGCTGCTAGCTGTGCACCTTGCCCATGGCCAACCTATGCTCTGCTACTAGGGCAGCCCAAGAGGACCCTGCAACAGTGTTCTGGTCTCCTGGCCTCCAGTTCAGGGTGATTGCCAATTCATTAATCTCTATTTGAAGAGAAGGACGTTAAGAGAAAATCATGAGATTCCATGGTTGAGGAGGAAAATTGGGAGAAGCAGCAACTACTTGACCCCCTCTGGGAATAAGAGACAAGCATGTTCATTCTGTCATTTCTGTTTCTCTCCTTTGGACTCCTACCCTTTAAGAAACAGAGGCATTTGGGACAATAGGTGCTGGGTGGGGTCTGGGGTACAGAGCGAGAGCCCGGGGGCGAAGAGGGGGCGGCCTTGGGTCAGAAAAAGGACCAGGGAGAGAGAGGGAAGCCCAGGCAGGGGTGTGTGAATAAAACACCAAAGGATTGCTAGAGTGTAGAGAAGGTCAAGGTGTGTTGGGAAGAAGTCAGAAGTAGGCAGAAAGAGACCAAAGGGTAAAGACAAGATAAAAGACAGGAGAGTCAGAAGCGGGCACAGAACGGGAAAACGTCTAACCAAGACCAAAAGTCTAGAGAAAACTGTCCGCAAGTGAAAGAAGGAACCATCTGGGCTGGGCTGGCTCAGCGTTGGAGCCCCAGAGGACAGATGCTAGGGAAAGAAGTCCAGGCTGTGCCCAGAGGGCAGAGGTGGAGCAAGTAGGCTAAAGAAGGCAGGTCCCAAACCATCGCCCCTCGGGCTAGAGTGCCCAGACAGGCAGGAGAGTGGCGGGGCTGGCGCTCGCTCACCGATCCGGGCGGCCGGCACTGTCCTCCGTCCGGGGGTTGCGGGCGGGCGCGGGCGGTGGCGAGGAGGGCGGCAAGCAGCGGCCCCGCCAGGGCGGCGTGCATCCTGCCCCGGCCCGCGGGATGCGGGGGACCCTCCTGGGCAGCGCCCCCTTAGCAGGGCGGGGAGCCCCCAGCTGGGCACCGAGGATCTTCTGGAGCTCAGGGCTCCAGGCGCGAGATGCTGGGAGCCCGCTGGGGCGTGGCTGGATGTCCCTGTCGGACCTGGGGGTCCCTCTGGGGCGGGGCTCCGTCTGTTGGAAGAGGGGGATCCTCTGGGGCGGGGCCCCCTCACCAGGGCGCTCAGCCGGGTTGGCCAAGCCCAGGAATTCTGCGAGCGCACAGGGGTCCTGGAGCGCGTGGCGGTCCTGGAGCCCCGTCAGGGTCCAGGGGTACTCGGGGCTCCTGGGGCAGTCCCGAGATCCCGGGGTGAGCGGGGGATCTCGGGTTATGCTGGGCACCCGGGGCGCGCAAGGGTCCCAGGGGTGCGCGGCGCTCCAGGGGGCGCGCAGTGGGACAAGTGCGGCGGAGGGCGCGGCGGGGCGGGGGTCGGCTCTGAGGTGCCCGGCTACCCCCGAGCCCGGCTCAGAGGGGCGGCGGGCGGCCGCGCGGCCGCTGCCCGGGCTCCGCCATGCTGCTCCGCGGCCGGGAGGGAGGGAGAGAGGAGGGCGGGAGAGCGGCGCGGAGCCGGGCCGGGCGGGGGGCTGGGGCCGCCGGGCGGGGGAGGGGAGGACCCGGCGCGGGGGGCCGGGGGCCGGGGCCGCGGCGGGCCGGGCCGGGCCGCAGGGAGTCGGAGCGAGCTCGGCGCCGGGGCGCGGCGAGGCGGGGTCTGCCGGGCATGGCAGGCGCTCGCTGGCTCCGCGCTCGCCCTCTCGCTTGCTCGTTCCCTCGCACGCGCGCGGAGGGAGGCGAAGCCCGCAGCAGCCACTTCCCAACTTTCCAAACTTCCCAGCGCAACTTTTTCCTCTCCTCCCCTGCTTGCGCCTCCCCCCTCCTCCCTCTCCTTTCCTCTCGCCAGCTCCGCGCTGGGCCGTAGCTCCGGAGCGCCACCGCCAGAGGGCGTCGGCCTGATGCTCTGCTCAGTGGCCTTCAGGCTAAGAGGTGGAAGCCCAATGGTCAGGCAATGACAAATTTGGGAACATGGGCCATCTTCGCTGAGCATGTATGTGAGTCTTGGCAAGAATAAACAACCAGCAGGACAGGATTTTGGTAGGCACTTCAAGGTATATCGAAAAGTTAGATGGTCACTGGATATCCAGGGAAGGTGGTATTTACTTACAACTATGTGTCATGCTGTACCTAACACTGACAAGCATGCTCCTAGGCATTCTGCAAACACTCTCTGCATTAAAATAAAGCATGTCTATGGAACATAAAATAATTATCAACTATGTGTTATGCTGTGCTGTACCTAACACTGATATGCATGCTCCTAGGCACTCTGCAAACACTCTCTGCATTAAAATAAAGCATGACTATGGAACATAAAATAATTATCAGAATTCTTTGGAAGCTTCCATTTACCCAGTCATCCGCAGGTCCAGTTTCCTGGGTCCACATAAAATTCCTGTGTGTGGGATGTGGAGGGGTAATAATTCATGTCCATTTCATAGGTTATAGGCACTGAAAAAGTCCTTAAAAATCAAACCTCTCCTGTTCCTTGGAGATAAAGGAGGCCTTAAAGATGTCAATGGATAAAAACCTCCTGTCTCTAGGTAGTGGTGGCACAAGCCTTTGCTTCCATCACTCAGGAGGCAGCGGTAGGCAAATCTCTGAATTTGAGGCAAACCTGGTCTGCAAAGCAAGTCCCAGGACAGCCAGAGCTGCAGAGGGCTACCCTGTCTTGAAAAATGAAAGCTAAGTACTGTATCATGGCATCTGAGGTTAAAGGATAAATTGGGTGATATTATGAGAAGTCTACAGCTGACAGACGAGGTCAGAAATGCAAATGGACAATTAAAACACAACCAATCAGTCGGGCGGTGGCGGCGCACACCTTTAATCCCAGCATTTGGGAGGCAGAGGCAGGCGGATCTCTGTGAGTTTGAGGCCAGGCTGGACCGACAGCCTCCAAAACAATACAGAGAAGCCCTGTCTCGTAAAAACCCAAAAAACAAACAAAAAAAAAACCAAAAAAAAAAAAAAACACACAATCAATCATACCAGAAGACCAAGGAAAGACAGGTAGAAGAAGGGCTCCTAAGACAGCCGGAGTCAGGGAAGAGACCTTGGAGGTGATCTTCAAGAATCAGCCAGTGGTAGGTAACAGAAGGAAGGGAAGCAGTTGGAGCAGCCAGCACGAAGGTGTAAGAGTGAAAGGCCTTCCAGGGACTGGCCACAGAAAGCAGGTGGCAGATGCTGACACCGTTTCTACATGCCAGGCCTGGGAGCACACCTTTGTATGTACAGTCGTGAGAAGTTACTCCATGATTTGAAGTCGTAGATGGCTCGGGCACATCTTTCCTTACAGGGTACATGAGTTGAGGAACAGACTGGAGGCAGGTCAGCTAGTGGGAGGCCAGGCCTGAACCTAGGCCTCTTGACTCCCAGCTAAGAGATCTCCTCACCTCCTCTCCCACTCATGCCTCAGGACACACTGGAGAAAGGAATGGTCATAGTCTGAATGAGGAAGAATAAATAGTTGGCCTCTTCAAACCTAGACGGTGAGCAACTAAGAGGCAGACCAGAAGTGTAGGAAGTACATACCAGAGAAAGATGGGTTGAACTCCACTAGTCGTGTGAAATTTCCTTTTTGTTGGGGGGGGCGGGGTTAGGCTGAAAATAAGTGTATGCTGGCAATTGGCTACGATTCAGACTACTGGGTATCTGGAGCAATTTCAGCTTCTTTGTCACATACCTACCTGGTGACAGATGTTAAGCAGGCCAGAGTGCCCAGAAAATAGGGCACCAGGACACAGTGTAGTAGCTCTGTCTGCCACACACAGAGCTCTGAGGTCTGCAGCTATGACAGAAGAGAAGTCCTTGAATGATGCTGCCCAACTCAGGCCCCCAACTGCCTGCAGAATCACCCATCTCCTCGGTGAGAACAGGGATAGTCGATTAGAGAGTGTGAGTGTTATTCCACTGAGAAGCAGGAATACGCTCTAGAAGATGGCAGATTAGGGAATTAAAAAAAAATACCAGATCAAGTTTAAAGTGATAGTATGTGTGACTATGTGTTTTCTCATGTCATATCTTTTTCCTTAAAATGATGAAGGTTTTGGCAGGTAATGGTCAGAGGTCTAACTTCCTCCTTCCAGGCCTCCTGTAGGACTGTGAGCAAGGGCAGAACAGCATCTTGGAGTCTGATTTTTTCCAACCCTCTTCCTGGCCTCACTATTTTTCAGTGAGTCAATCAATGTGCGTGATAAGGCATTAGGCTCACCCCCCCCCCCCCCGTGTTGCATTGGTAGTGTTAATGAGGCAGAGCGGCAAAGAAGTTTGCCAATCCAAGAGGACTGAAAACATAGAGCAACACAAATCTCTGTGCCCCGAAGCATTGTCACAGTATCCAGAAGGTAGAAACAATCCAACTAACTGTCCATCAGATGTGAATGGAGAGCCAACTATGGCATGTCAAGACATCAGGCTATCTACCTTAAAGACATACAATTCTTTAAAAATGAGGCATAGGGAGCTGGAGAGATGGCTCAGGGGTTAAGGGCACTGGATGCTCTTCCAGAGGTCCTGGGTTTAACTCTCAGCATCCACATTGCAGCTCACAACTGTCTGTAACTCAAGTTCTGAGCACCTGACACCTTCCCACAGACATAAATGCAGGCAAAACACCAATGCACATAAAAAATAAATCTTTTTTAAAGACAAGGCATATTCAGGATGGAGTATTTCTTGACTTCAGAGAGGACTGAAGTGAGCATGTGTATAGAGACAGAGAGAGGGATCGTGGTCACCCAGAACAAAGCAGAATGAGGAGCTGGAGAGCCCTTAACAATGGATAGTGGCTTTCTTGGGGGAGTGGTAAAACATCCCAAATGGTATTGGTTGAACAACTCTGAATAAACTAAAAGGAAAAACCACTTTAAGTGGGTACATGGTATGTGAATTACATTTCCTATAGCTGTTATCCAAAAACAATAAACAAGAACATGGGGTTCAGTGGGTTTTCAAATTATTTTATTTTTAGTTATGTGTGAGTATGTGTGTGTCTGCCACATGTGTGTGGATGCCTGTGAAGGCCATGGGAGGGTGTTGCATCCCCTGGAACTGGAGTTTCAGGTGATTAGGAGCTACCTGGTGTGGACACTAGGACTGAGCAGAGTGTGCTGTCTTAGTCATTGAGCCTTTTCTCCAGCTCAGTGTCAGTTTTTAAAGCGTTTCCGCCTCCTAGTTGGTCTTGTGAGATAAGCCCTGGGTGGTGTTAAATCCTAAATCCTAGAGGCTGGGCCACTTGCGAAGTTTCCCCATCCTCTCTGAACATGACAATGAACTGAGGTGACCCACCAGCAGCATAAACAAGCTGGTGGGGTGACTAACCTTTAAGGGCCCCTGCACCCAACCCTAAAGCTCTTCCTTTAAGGCATTTCAGCAGGGTGAGAAAGGACTCTGGGCTCAAGAGGGGGCAATGGCTGCAGACTCTAGACTGCTCCGCCTGGGGCACATCCGGACCACTTTTCTTTTATTGCATCTTAATTGAGTTGTTCAATCAGATTGGTACCAGGAATCTGTAGGCTGTAACAGCAGGGGCAGGAGCAGAAGCCTTGTAGCGTAACTAAACCAACAAAGTTGGCCTCAGGAGCCCTGCTCTGTTGAAGGGTGTCCTTTCCAGGGTGAGAGATGAGGGACTTAGCTGCTGGCTCAAAGGCAGAACGTTGCTCTGGGCTGTGGGCCACTGGCCACCCCAGTATTCTTAAATGGAAATGATCTGACTTCTGGCTCTGACTCCTGTAGCCAGCATGCACCCACTGGTCCCAGCTCTGTGTTCCTTACCCCAGCCTTGCCTGGGAATTAATCCTTGGTGAATGAAGAACAGGATTGCTTCTGGGACTGGGGAGAAGGAACGTGGACTGAAGAATCAGCCAGCGACAAGCAATGTTGAAGACAGAGTAAGGGAAAGCACCTGAAAAAATGCAGACACTCAGATGACTAGGCAAAAGGTATTCTGTCACTAAAGCAGGACAACAGGCCAGTGGTCCCTAAAGTGTAGCAAGGGATCAGAGCTGCTAAGTAGGATGGCTTGTATTAAGGACAGCATTAAGGTGACACAGTCCAGTCAGGACATCCTAGGTTCAGAGGAATCAGCCCCAGATTTAGCCCTCAGGGAATTTCCCACCCAGGGGAGAGGAAAGGGACTTAAACAAATGGAGCTTGGAGAAACAAATAGAAGGGCAAGCAGTACAGACCAAGACAGCCTTAGGGGAGAGAACAACACCTCTGCAAAGATCGTTGCTGAAAAGGTGTCTTCTTTTTGCTGTTGTTTTTAGACCTACTGAGTCCAACTGGAGTTACTCGGAAGACTCACCTAAGATCAAGTTAGCGGAAATCAGTCTTTAAAGAGGGAGCAGGAAGCTGGGTGTGGTGGTACACGCCTGCAGTCTCTGCACTTACCAACGGGAGGTAAAGGTCAGG